CTGAAACTCCTGAAATCCCTCAATCAAGAGTTCTTGCTCTGCTGCCGAAAAATACTGAGCGCGCTCCTTCGACATTTTCGCCGACCAATCAAAGGGTTGCCGATCAATGTTTCTACTATCGATGCGTAGCCCCTGTTAAGCCACCCAGTGATCTCACATTACTTCATCCAGCTCAACAACAGGTGTGTTCGGAGAACCGGAATCGCGAGCTCAAAGTTAGCGCGATGATTTGATCTTGGATGTAGTAAGCGAGGTACGAAGAACGGACCCAGATGTCTGTGTTTCTAGCTTTGCTCCTCCTGTCTCGTTAGGTCTCATTCCTCCCAGCTGTGTTCCCCTTCTGTGTCTCATTCCCTCATTATCCCTCTGTGTATTTAAGTCTGCGTGTCTACCCCTGTATTTCTGCTCTGTGTTTCTCCATGTTCCAAGGTTTCATGGCTCAGGTTTTCATGTTTCAAGTTTCTTGTTGCAGGTTTTTGTTCTTTTCATTGTTATTTTGTAGCTGTTCCCAGTTTAGGTTTTTGTTAGTATAGTTCCCTGCAATGCTCCTCTTTGGTTTTTATGTTGCCTTTCATTGTTAATAAATTTGATCACATCTACACTATTGTCCGTGCCTGCGTTTGGGTCCAAATTCTCCTCCTCCAGACAATTTGCCACGCAGATTGTGACAATCCTATCCTATACATGTATTTTTTAAGGGGACAGTGCTCCAAGAAACTCAAGCTGATGGAAAAGAGCTCAGTTGGCTTAAATGAATTTTGTTAAATTATTCATTTATCAGGCATTTAGAGTGACATGAACATCTTTGAGAAATAAAGATCGGAGTTAATCGAGCTCACAGATTTATTTCATCCAGTTTTCTTCAGCAGGTCTCCTGTTTGTTTAGTTTTTTTTTTCTCAGTTCATAGTTTGCGTGTGTGTAATGTCCCCGATAGTTTCAGTTTACCTTCTCTGCCATATACAGCAAGTGCTGCCAAAGCAAACTCTGACATATGGACATGTAGGCAAGGCAGAAAAAATGCTTACCAATGTATCAAATAACAGTGAATATGGATAGCATAAAAAAGTGTGGTTCGGTTGAAGTGCTTTATGAGTGCTTTAAGTGAAATAAAAACGGTGTGAGCGTGTGTAGGCGTCGTTGTTTTTACAAACCTGATCCAGTCACTCATTTGCACAGAACAGTCAGCCAAACATCAAGTGCAGCTGACTTACTCACCCTCACATGAACAGTGGTTCATCCACATTCTTTCGTCCTTCATCACAGTGTTTTTTGTTTTTGTGAAAGATGAGAAGATAAAACAGATGAACAGAAACAGCTATGTCATCAGTAGAAGTGTAATAATAAGATAACTCTCTCTAAACTCTCTACATTAAAGGGAAGAACGTCATTAGCCCTGAATAGAAGAAAACAGAGGAGGATCCAGTGGTGGGGGAGGAGGTCTCCAAAAATGTAAAATACAGTAATTGAAATTAAAAAAAAAAAAAAAAAACATCTTGAAGACCTGGGTCTGCTCTGTAAACGCTGAGTTTGATAGTAACACATGAACCGATTCCCCACATGATCCCGAATCAGTTAATCTTGCAGCAGATTCTTTGAGGAGGAGGACTAACACCTGCAGTTCAAGATAATTCAGGAACCAGTGGTCCTATAGTCTCTGAAGCTTGTTAGAGTATGTATTATTTGTCACTGCTGTCAGTGCAACATTTGTAGAATAATTATAAAAATCAAAACTTCCACTAAAGTTCAGAACTTAAGCACATAACCAGAATTAAATACCACTTCTGCTCAGTGCTGTGTTCCCAGCTGTGCAATGTAACTTCATTATTTAATAGGAGATAATCTCATAATGCCGCAGCACAAAATGGTGATATTTAAAAAAAATTAAAAATACTCCGCTTCATTACAGTTGTAGATAAAACAAAGAAAACAGTCTGCTTTGATGATGACATTTTCAACTTTCCCACAGCATATCAACCCTGTTTTACCCATATCTGTAAATCTTGTTATAGAGGTAACGTTTACATTTACTGAGATCAGCAGCAGATGGTGAAATATGAGAATCAATAAATATGTAAAAATGACTTCTCTGTCATGGGTTTTACAGCATCATGAATCACAGGTTCTATATTGTTAATGATGGTTAGGTCATTCACTGCATCATTCAGTGAAGGATATTGAAGATGAGAACCCCACGGGGTGTTGTCTCTATTGTCAGTTTGTCATTTTAATGTTGTTTCGGTCTAGAGTGTCATGATACAGAATCAGAGGGTTTGGATTGTTACACATTATCTCATCTCCACAGGGAACACAATTGAAGGTGCTACAGAACATGGTCAAAAATTGTATCATTTACATTATTAATTGCACTTCTTCTCCTGCACTGTGAGAATTATTAGGGTTTATTGCCTTGCTCAAGAGCATAGAGCAAAGATTTTAAAAACTACCTAATGAAACAAGAAGGGATTGAGATGTCCAGGTTTCTAACCTGTGAGGAAGATACAATTGATTGTAAAATAAGATCAACTCAAATAAATCAAGTCAAGCAAGATTTTTTGCTTTTGTCTGTAACTTGCTCCTTGCTTTTGCAGATGCATGTTTTGACCTGTGCAGCTGACACAGTTGGAAACTCACCGACTTACAAACAACTCAGGCATTTACACGTCTTAGTCCTGGCATCAAAACACAAACACACACAAACTCAGATCAGCATTACAGAACACAGAATCACTGTCTCAGAGTTTCCAAATTAAGGGTCATGTTGTGATATTGGAGTGTTAAAGTAACTTCACTGAAAAGTGAGAAATTAGTGCAAATATAAAGAGCAATACATTTATTTATTTCACAAGCAACGCTTACAGAGTGTGTCAGAGTGCATAGGCTCAGTATTTCTGTTGAATCTGTTATGCATGTCAGTGGAATGTTATTGGTGATTGAAATCAGCTTTATTTCATATCTGGTTCCACTAGTGTCGGTTTAACCAATGACTAATTAAAAATTACAGTGGTATGATGAAGCTGTGCAATCAAAGAAAAGAACCTTTAAATAAATATTGGGTTTTTGAACTGCATATAGTGTAAACCAACATATTTACAGAAATCTGCCAATACAAACTAAGGCAGCAGAATTTTATACACAATTTTAAAGATAAAATACATTTTATGAAAGTTCGATGTTATTTGTCCTCGCAGAAGAGGCCAGAGCCACAATATATCATTCACAATGTGCCTATATGTTGTCAATACAAACAAAGGCAGTAAAAAACAACAACAACAAAAAACCCTCTCTAGCTCTCTATGTCATTATTATGACTTTTGAAGCCCCCTAAAGTAGTTGGGTATTCCTGTGTGTTGACAATAAAGATGACACTTGTGAGAATATTTTAAGTTATAAGGTTTTTTGCCACTTTTCATGCTTTTTAAACTATTGTGTTTACAGACGCAATAAGACACACAAAGCTTATTTAAAATAAAAAATCCTTGGTAGAATTTCTTCAAAAGTGAAAGTGCACTTCATGTTTAAGGTAGTAAATCATATTTTTAGTATAATTTAATTATATCTGAGACATGCCAAAGACTTCAGTTTTCCCATAAGAGGTAACTCACTTAGCTGCATTTGTTAATCAGAAGCACACAATGTAAAAAATGTAAACGGAAGTGAAGGCAGGAAATAGTCTTAAATTGAAAGCTTTACAAGTAGGTTGTTTTTTTATGAACTTTAAAGCCCAACTTTAAACACCACTGCATAAAAACTTAATTCTATAAGTTGTTTAGAAACTACTACTGCTGCTGTTTTTCTCTATGCAGTCTCTGTATCCAGAGATTCTTCCATGTTCTCAGGTTGAGAGGTGTTTGTATTGTTTTATTTCCCCTGCTGCTTTCAGCCACAAAATAGACAATGCATATTTAAAAACCCCAACAGCAGCTTCTTCATGCTATACGATTGAACTGGTGCTGACAGTTGATAAATCTGGCTTCAGATTTAACAATGACAGCTCTGACCATTCATTTTGTTTTTTTGGCTTTATTCCATGTAATATGGTTAAAGTGACAATTAAAGTTTTTCTGATTAAGCCAAATATCAATATTTTATCTCCGCACATGGAAAAAAAAAGTGATATGGTGTTACTCCATAGTGCTTGAGCAGCACTAAACCCATACTATCTATGTCCAAAATTCTTTTGACAATTTGAATTTTATTGGTACCACTAATCTTTTTGACTTCCTGAAACACTGTAAATGTTTGGTGTATAATCTACAGCCAACTCTGGATGACATTATAAAGACTGTACAGTGAAAACATTTCACTTTGATTTAGATAAAATGTTTGGGTTTTTTCTTTACATCTAGTTTCACTTTTTGTTTAGTTTTAGTTGCCTATAATAGCCTTTGTGCTCATTGTATGTTTTATATTTAAATTCACAACATGACACTGTGACAAAATAGCATTTTCTTAATGACAAACACAGCAGTGAAGGGCAGAAAGTTTTTTCATCTTAAATAAATATCTAAACAATAAATGGACGAAAAGGAGACGCTTTCTGTTCCAGTCGTGCACCTCAATTCTCCAACGGAGCCTTCTAGCCTAACTTGTTCTGGAGCATGTTGGGTTAGATGTGATCTGTCCCTAAGTTTGGGAGCCAGGAAAAGAACAGTTAAGGAAGTACAGCTGAGTGTCTGACTGACTATCGTATGATTTGACTTATGGATGTGTAACTGGACCTTGGAGTTCATCAGCACATCAGAAGCCCATCTTCAACCCGGCAAAACAGACTTTTCACACATGAGCTCCTTTTTTCTGTTCTTCTGAGACCTCCTCTCTGCAACATAGAATCAATAATTTAAAATTTTAAAAAAGGAATTGATATTTTATTGTTTATATTTTACAATAATAGATGGACTGAGAGAGAATTCTTGTTGCCATTTAGACGATAATTTTAACTTCACTGAAAAGGTTTTTGAATGAGCTATTCAGTTTGGTTGAGAAAACAGCCATTATCACGCAAAGCTTCATGTTTGTGGCAGGAAACTATATTTTTTTTGCATCATTTTAGTGAATTTGATACACCTGAAAGACTTTGTAGTGTATTTAAATTCTATATTCCATTGAGTTGTATTTATCAGTCACTTTTTTAAATTTAGAGGTTGGTTCCCTTGATTTAATAATAATTACAATATATATTAAGTTTTACTTACAAAGAAGATCTACTAGATGACACCTGGAACTAAAAGAAAAAAATCAACAGGAAGTGTCAGTACAGTGTGGGCAAGAATTTGATCAATTACATGGAAATTAAAAGTCTCAAATTTTTTATTGTAGTTTTATTTTGTAGGAAAGAAAAAGAATATCAACCAAAAATCCAGAAAAAGAAAAACATTACCTAAGAGTTATAAATTGATTTGCATGTCATTGAGTGGCACAAGTGATTGATTTCTTACACCCCAGGCAGAATTCTCTCAGAGGACATTGAGGGCAAGATTGTAGACCTGCACAAGGCTGGAATGAGTTATATAACCATCAGCAAGAAGCTTGATGGGAAGGTGACAGGTGTTGGTCTGATTATTCAGAAAATAAAAAAAATATAAAATATAAAACCATCATCCGTTGTCCTTGATCTGGAACTCCATGCAAGATCTTGCTTTATGGGTTAAGGCTGATCATCCCAAAACTATACAGGAGGAGTTGTATAATGACCTGAAGGCAATTAGGACTGCAGTCAACAAGGACACACCTGGTAATGCACAACACCATAATGAACCGGAATCTTGCAGCACCTGCAAGGTTCTGCTGTTATAGAGGTGTAATGATGGTGGTTTAGTTGTGGAAGGAGACAATGAAAAAGATAGTTGTCAGTTGGTTTGAGATATTTGTTGACACATGGGTCTTATCTCCTCCGTACTTCAGAGTCAGACAAATCAGACAACCTGTCCACATTTACATTTATACCTGCTGCTGCTCCACATGTGATACCACATATGGTCATGTTGCTGGGGGTCTCCTTATCTCAACCTCCTCCGAGTTCCAGCTGTGTTTCCACCTGTTCCTCGTTCCCTCTTGTTCCTGCTTGTGTATTTATTGTGCGTGTCTTCCAGTGCTCGTCATTGCACTATAACAATAGTCACCCTCATATATCACTGTGTATCCCATCCGTCAACCTGCCTAGTTTATTTGTATCATCTGTTCGGTTAGTATTCTCCTGGTCAGCCATTTTTGAGTTTATATTTTGTGTGCTGGAGTCTGCATATTGGGTCCATTTCCTGCCTGCCTGCACAGCCTTGTGACATCCTAATCTTGAACTGTGCACATTAGGTTCTTGTTGTAATTACAGAAATTTACACCATTTGTTGGCCCTGTACATGTGCCAAAAGATAGAAATTTTTATATGTGATGTGTGTGTTTTGTGTCTATGCTGTGTGTCAGGGGTCTGTCTCTATACGAGGTTTTTTGTGTACATAGGTGTGCGTTTATGGTGACAGGAAACTCATTCAAACAAGAGGGCACATGTGATGATTCAGAGAAACCTTTGAAGAAAATGCTGTGATCAGATGAAATCAAAATCAGACTCTTTGGCATCACTCCACCTTCCATTTTTGGAGAAAGAGAAATGCTGAGTATAACTCGAAGAACACGCCATCCCCAACAAATTTCGGGTTGCGTTTCTACTATATATACAGGACATCACTGCACTGAGTGCCAATGGACATGGTTGTGTACCATAAAATCTTGGACAAGAACCTCTTTCCCTCACTCAGAACACTGAATATGGGTCATGAGTGCATCTTCCAGCATAGCAATAACACAAAACATAACACCAAGGTAACAAATGAGTGAGTAAAGAATACGCACATTATGGTCATGGAGTGGCCTAGCCAGTCTGCAGAACTGAATCTGTGGAGGGAGCTGAAGCTGAAGAAGCAGCCAAGAAACCAGAAGGATTTAGAAACCAGAGTTTCTGTAAAGTGGAGTGGGCTGAGATGTGTATAAACCTGGTGTTGACAACTCAGGTTTCTCCACCAATTACTATTTTGTATTTTGCTGAATCAAGTTCTAAATTTAATGTAATGTGTTTTTTTTCTGGATTTTTGGTTGATACACTGTCTTGATCCATTTAAAAAAACTAAAACTATTCAGCAGCCATTAGTCATTGTTTTTTGCCAAGTTAAAAGCCAGAGTATAAAAGAAAAGTAGTTTAATTACAAGACCTGTTGTCTTGTACTTGTAAAATAAAAAAGAAGTGCAAATAATTTTGAAATTCCAAACAAGTTCAGTTTTGATGTCTAGAGCATCAGGTCAGCTTATTTGAATAACTCACCTCTCCTCCTTCTATAAACAACAACTCCAACAGCACAGAGGATGAGAAGAACAAGAACAAGTAGAACAGGAACAACCACGGCAACAATGATGTGCTTGTCTGTTCAGTAAAAAACAAGTAAAATGGAGCAGGTTAACAGAAATTCCTTCATTCTGTAGTGCTAATCTAGTTACTCTATAAAACCCATGGCAGTGTAGGATGTAGATCCAGTAGCATATTTATATAATATCTATTTGAGGCTTTAGTTATGTGGTTGTACAGGTGACACTAATATTACACATTTTAACAATAAAATATTCAGAATAAAATATTTGTATTCAATAACAGTTCCCCAGCTGTAAGGCCAAGGATAATGTGTTAATAGACCTCTCTGCATTGAATTGTACTTGTTATTAATCTCTGTCTCTCTTCCACAGCATGTCTTTATCCTGTCTTCCTTCTCTCACCCCAACCGGTCGCAGCAGATGGCTCCGCCCCTCCCTGAGCCTGGTTCTGCTGGAGGTTTCTTCCTGTTAAAAGGGAGTTTTTCCTTCCCACTGTTGCAAAAGTGCTTGCTCATAGAGGGTCATATGATTGTTGGGTTTTTCTCTGTATGGATCATTGTAGGGTCTACCTTACAATATAAACAGTGAGGTGACTGTTGTTTCGATTTTGTGCTCTATAAATACAATTGAATTGAGCTGAATTTAAAATAGTTGTGTGTAAATAGTTAATTTAATTTTAAATTTAAAACAGAGACTTTTATGTGTTTTTTTAACAATATTTTTGGAATCAAACACATAAAGTAGCAGCTATTCTTCTTTGGGTCAGAACAAAAAACAGAGCAAAAAATCCAAACATCACATTATAGACAGTACAGAGAATCAAAAAACAAAGTTAATCAGCTGTTTTTATCTCACCATTTTTTTCCTCCCAGTTTGTTCTGATTACTGTTTTATCCAGTTTGGTGACAATGTGTTCATCACCACCAGAGAGCTGAAACACACACTCGTATCTTCTCCAGTCTTCAGGTGATGAAACATTCAGATCAACACTCATCTGGAAGGTTTCATCATTGTTGGAGAGGATCTCTCCAGGATCCACACCTTCATGAACCTTCTGTCCATCTTTCCTCCAGAACATCACGGCTCTGTCAGGGTAGAAACCTGTAGCGTGGCAGCTGACTGGAGATGAGGGAGTCTTCTGGAGGAGAGAGACTGAAGGATGTTCTTCAGAAAGGGGGGTGGGAATTGAAAACAGATTAAAAACAGGTGAGGAATAAGCCTGATAAGCCTGAGAGACTTCATAAGGAGATATCAAGAAAACTGTTTCATGACTATAACAATAAATAAATTAGTCTACTTTGCAAGTAAAGTTCTTTTAATTCCTAAAATGTATCACCTTCAGCACATAGAGAGACCTGGCACACAGCTAGAATATGAAAATCAAGTCATTTTGGTTTTTTAAAGGCATTAGATAAAAAGGCAGCCTAAATACTATGCCATATTCTTTTTTAAAGGTCACTGTATTATTCAGAAATAAAATACAGCATAACATACAAACTCTTCTACATCCATGAGAAATGCATCAGGTCATGTGAATCTACCTCTTCTCTGCAGGCTGCTTTTCCCAGCGTCCAAGTACTTCTTCAGCCACTGAGGACAAATCCCAGTGAGCGAACTTTTATAATAATTATTTTTAGCTACATCAGCGTTCCATTTCTGTTGGATACTTTCAGCCTCTGGTTTCTGTGCGATCCATTTCAGAGTTTTTAGATCAAATTTAAGAAAGTCTTCTCCATTATGACCATACTGTAACACACCAGCCACTTCTCCAGTATTTTCATCCAATTCACAGCCATCTATCCTCTGTAAAATGTGGAAACCTGAGGAGAGACAAATAGCGATTTCAATGAACAGTACTGTGCAAAAGTCTTGATGGATACTGGTTTCAGTCAAGAAGAAAAAAAAATGTAAATCTTTAATGATTTAAAAATATTTTTACATGATTCATTTTTTCTATAACTTTATATTTATAACCATCAAAGATAAAGTATAAAAAAATACTGTACCTTCACTTCCCCCCTTTAAACTAGAAATCAGCTGTCTGAACTTGTTTGGTTCATCTTCAAAACATTTAATATTGTAGTAGCCCTTCTGCTGTGGGTCATTTTCTAATATTTTCTCTGCCCAGTCGTGTTGTATTTTGAATGTTTTCTGACTGCTGTCACAGTAACCTGTCTGAATGTCATCAACTAACAACACACCCACAAAATCTGGAATGATTGGAATGCCATAGGATCCGGTGACCAAATTCTTCAGTGAGTGTTTCACTGTGAAACAAAAAAATGTTTATACTTTTAATAATTACAACAATTAAACATGAAAACAATTTCAGAAATGTGGTGCATTCAGTTTGATTGTGTTAAAATATTCATAATTTGCAGTAACAAATGACATAATATGAATCTGTAGCAGGAGTCTGTAACTTTTTAATATTAACTTGATAAAGTTGTGTGATCATGCTGATCTGCTTTGCATTTGTTTGAAACCAGCTGAAAGTGATTAAGAATGACCAAAATCGATTCAAAATAAATGTGTATAAACAAATAATAGTAATATCAATATTCTTTATTAAACCTCTTTAACAGTTTATATGTGAGATGAAACACTTTTTTAACACTAACATAAAGTTTGGGTCAAATAGTTCAGCATGGTGGTACATTGGTCAGTGCTGTCCCCTCACAGCAGAAAGGTTACCAGCTAAAATCCCAGCAGAGGGCCTTTCTGTTTGCATGTCTTCACTTGGGCCTGTTTGGGTTTCCTGTGGATCCACCAGCTAACCAATCCTAATTTTACTTCTAGTCCAAAGAAATGCATATTAGATTAACTGGTGATTTTAAACCGTCCATGGATGTGACACAGACAAAATGCTACATGAATGTATGGCTAAAATGTGAATTCTTGTTAAAAGTTCTTTGAGTGCTCAGTAAGACTAGAACAACATTATATAAATGTGAGATGTTTGCCCCTGCAATGTAGCAAAATAAAGACAGAATAAACTAACTGAGAGCTGTGTGAGATTAAAACAGAGAGGGTTTGAGAAAGTTATAAGAACACAATCTTGTGTTATTAAAGATTATTGTGTCCAGTCTTAGATAACAATGACATGTCTTAGATGAAAGTTAAAATACTTTTTAATGTGAAAATAGATGTGATTCTCTCAAAACAAGTATTGTAAATCCTAGAAAATGCAGTTCCTCTCTCTACACTCTGAAACATTAACCAAAACAAAAATGTTGCTTTAGTTCAAATGAGACTGTGATAGAGTATAAAGATTAAAAGGTTTGTCTTACCTGCAAATAAACCGTGGCAAAAGGCAATCAACAAAAATAACTTCATGATTTCTCAATGTTATCCGAAAAGTTGACTCTCTTCATCTGGAAGTAGCGTTTTCTTAGAGTTATATTTATCATTGTTCGAACATTAAGAGACTTCAGGTTCTCTGTCATTAGCTGAAGTGAATATCATAGTGTGTCTTCCTCCTTTTCGTTCTTGCATACAAATCCTACCAAACAGGCTTTTCTGCTTGCTTTTAACCAACTGGTAGGGAGTGGTGCCTTACCTCAAGAAGAAAAAAATAGTTCAGCCTCCTTAAAGCAGTCTCCTTAAACAAACATAGGAAATTAAACATATTTAAGCAGCACTGAAGTCACTTCATTGGCTCCCAGTTCAATTTACTTTCAGTTTACTTTTATGATCCTCCTATTAGTTCATAAAGCTCTCAGTGTTAAAATCCATTTTAACTTTCACTCTACTGAGGTTTTGAAACGGTAATAAAACATGTTCTAATGTTTCATCTTCTCCATAAGTATTATTGTGTTTCTGCCAAATCAGCCTATATGTCACCAGACAGTGGTGTTAAGCAGCCTGGGCTTACTAAAATATATCTGTGTACCTTCCACTAATTTTTACCTGCTGGTTGAACTTCCCTCCTCTGTTGGAAAGCTCAGCTGTCAGCTGCAGCTTAGCAGTTACCCTGGTAACAGACTCTGAACCTAAACTGCTTGCTAGCAGATTTTCATCAATAAACTTTGAGTGTCTCTCTGACTCCTCCTTTCCTGCTGCACCTGAACCAGCTGACTTACAATCTAATCCATTTCCTCATTCATAAAGTCACTACCAAAGAGCAGAGGAGCAAGTTACTGTGCAGAAGTTCACGTTTTTACAAACACTGAAATTCCAGTTAAATGTTACTTTACTAATTTGTATACTTATGAATGCTTTTACAATCAATCAGTTGTCAATAAGCACAGCAATTATGTTATAGATTTATTATGAGCTCAGAAAATCTGAGTAGTCTCCATCTTTCTAACTCTGTAACTCTGTGGACATTAATTCAGCTGACAGAATCTTAGTTTTCTTGCCATGAAATCATTTACTGTATGTTACGCATTGATCACTGATCAATCATTTGTCTCATTAAAATCATTCACAATGAATGAAAAATGCCTGTCAATTGTTGGATCTTGGAGATGATTTAAAAATTTGAGCGACGATGAGGCTCAGATGACTTTAGGACTCTAACACTGAATCAAATGTATTTAAAGTTTTAAATGCAGCCTGCAGACAGTCTATTTTGAACATTTCGTGTTAAAACATGTTCACAGATTGAGATTCAGTCATTAAATTGAAAGACACAGTATCTAAAATTTAGAGCCTGAGCCTGGACATTTTTTCCACCAAAAATCACCTAAATCAGTTTCAGTGGGTCGACCCAGAATTGGATCAACCTGAAGATTAAAAACATTAAATGAGATATAGCCTGTACATTTTACCTCATTTAAAAGAAAATCAATATTAGAAAAAAAATTAAATAAATAAATACACATAAAAAATCACTACTGTATCCTAAGAAAGCATCATGTTATTCTACCTGTCTACACATTTGGAACTCTGGACAACTCTTAGCGAGCATGATTTCATTGTATTTATTTAAAGCTCAGTCAGCGTCAGATCTTGGTTTAAAAATGGCAGCCTCTGGCTTCATTGGGATCCACGTCAGTGTCTTCAGAGCCATGTCAAGAAAGTCTTCTCCATTATAACCACACTGTGAAAAGCCAGTCATCTCACCAGTATTTTGATCCTATTCACAGCCACTTCTCCTCTGTAAAATTATGGAAACCTGACAAGAGAAAGAAAGAAAACAGAGATTGCAGTGAACTATGCATGAGTCACTGCTATATGATTTGATGACTGACACAGTTAATTCGGGATTTCATGATGTTAGCTTTGAAACATAATGTCAGATTGACTTCATGAATGATTGAAATTAGTCTGTTTAACCAGGGAACCACTCTAGAAGAACAACTGGTTTTAGATGGATGAGGGCTCAAATGTGTTTGAATCATTTTGGTTTCGAAACAATCCGAAACCATAGCTGCGGTGACACCTGCTGGCCAATTTAGCTATTGCTGCACCTTGATAACGCTATTCTGTGAAACAATGAAGCAGACAAGCCGTGCACAATTCCAAACAAAGCTACTTATTATACCAGACTGTCAATAATGGTGATCAACACACGTTTTAGAGAAACAAGACAAGATAAAATATTGAGATCGTTAAAAACAAGCTGTGACTATAGCGAACAACATTCCCCACCTGTTAACTTTCATGTTGCTAAAGCAGCTCAATTTATAAAATAGAATATATTGAGAAAGGACTGCTGTGTTTACTGTAAAAAAAACACACATTTTTTATTTTTTTGCCAGCCTTTCTCACAGCCCTCATAGTTTAGATCTGTTTGGTTAATTTTTAAGCTTTTTTTGGCATTTGTGTCATCAGGTCTGTCAGTCAAAGCTATAAGCAACCTCAGGTTTAATTCTAATGATATTAATATATAAATTAATTATATACTTACAAATACATATTTAAATGAAAAGACTAAACATGCTTTCCTTGAGAAAAAAGTAACATTTGTTATATTTGGGCTAATTCTGACCAATTCTGATCATAACAGTCCATTTCATGCACATAATCGTCTGCTGAGCATCCTCTGAACTTTGAACTCTAACTTGTAATATGATGTTTGAGTCTGGAGTTTTGGTTATAGTGAACCTGCCTCTTGTTGTTTTTGATCATTTTGTTGTACATGTACAATCGAAATAAAGGACGAGTCTATTTTATTCTATTCTATGAGATATTTGCACCAGAAGAGTCAGTGGGAATAAAAAGGGGAAAGAATAAAATAAGGTTTAAGAAATAGATCACATGTAATTACTAAATGTGTTTTTCTAGCTTTTCTTTTTACAGTAGCTATTTTCCTTATGGCAGTGTGTTTGAGTAACTGGTTATAGTGCAGATGAAGTCACTTAATGGAGCAAATAACATTTTCTGTTGAGAGCAGGAAGCTCACCCACCAGTTTCTGTCTCTCCTTCTCTCATCTATATAACAGTCATCATTAGAATTACAAATTTATATATTATTTAATGTCCATATAATATTTATATGATTACACTTTAGATTTCTGTGTTCATGTGACTTAATGGTCTAGTATTGTCTTCACAATCCACAGCAAAAATAATAATAAGAGAGGGCATAGTTTTCTTTTACACATGCACATGTAATAAATAGTAGCATCAAAAACATTAACTGTTATTCTCTCCGTCTAGAAAAAAAAATGCCAAAGTCCAGTTAAGGAAACATATTTAACCTGCACACGGGTGTCTGTAGCTCTGAAAAACAACAAATAAATCATATCTACTACAAAATGTTTAACAGCAAGTTAAGAATAACAGCTGCTCCTGATCTGTTCATAAAAAGAACAAATGGTTCACAACAACTTCTTCACCCTTAAATCACAACTGCATTAAAAATGTAAAAGTCTATATTTCAAAGCAGAAGTTGTACAGATGTTTTGTCTTGCAAAATATGAGGAAGAAAAATATAAAATGAACAAAACAGGTGAAGCATTTCCTTTTTTCTTTTAAATGTACAAACTGTGAGAATGATGCTCAGATTTTTATTGTTTTTTTTTTTTTTTTTAAAAAGCTAATAAACAATGGAAATGTCTTCAAATATTAAACAGAAATTATCTTCCACAAAAGTTGAAAATATGCACATTCAAAATCACATATTTTAAACAACATGCATACAACACTGTTTGGATTTTTCTTCCTGGGACTTCTTCAGTTTAAAAGTGAAGAAATCTCTGTCCTCTGTTTGTCTATTTGGTCTCTGGATTCAGTTTCTCAGTCAGTTCAGAGATGCTGTTAGGAGCTGTAAGGCCCAAAACACACTGTTAGTCATCTGATTCTGGACTGGATTTTATGTACAAAATAACAAGTACTGTGTGAACTGCATGTTTCTTCACAAACACATCATAAAAGGAAGGTAAGAAAGAAAAAAATAAACCCACTAATAAAAAGAAAGAAAAAAATTACATCATCAGTAATGAATGTACAAATGGTCCATCTAAACCCCATTTATTCAGAAAGACCTCCACATTATTCCTAAACTCAGGATGTATATCATGGGCCCTTAGCCAAGCTTACACCAATATCCACCTGGACACCACCCTTCAGCTTATTCTTCCTGGTTAGCCAAATGGCCAACTTGGCCTGACCAAAAAGAAAATTAACCAAAACTGCAACTGGTCCAAGAATAAAAGTCTGAACAGAAGAATCCTCCCCAAGCGTATCACACAGAAACCTAAGAAGTTCAAAAACACTCCTAAGTCTGGAAGATTGCAGGAAAACATATAACACAGTTTCAGACAACCCACTGAAAAGGACAACCCTCCCCTTGGTGTGTTCTTTAGCTGGGCCAGGAAACAGTTTGTTGGCAGGGCAACATGGACTCTCCTCCACTGTAAATCTCCTGGTCTATTTGGAAGGGTCTTATAAAAGAGCCTCCACCTGAAAGCTTGTGATAACTGTGAAAGCCTCCTTCCACTGATGCACTGCAGTGTCCCTTAAAGACTCAAAATTCCTCACCTTCACACAGCCATGAGCAAGGCTTCACTGTGCAGCTGACTAAACTGTTCCAGGTGTGGAGTACTCACTAACAGCAACTTCCCTTCCCCTTTCAGCTCTTCAGTGTTCATGGAAACAATCAGCTGAGGAAAAACAGCAGCCACAAGCCACAAGGAGGAGGACACCTTATTAACTATTAGGACCCTGCCTCTATAAGATATCTGACTGACAACTATTTCCACTCTGATAGTTTCTTATGTATTGTCAGTACTAGCCCTTCCCAGTTCTTTTTAATTGCTTACAACTTTCCAAAGCTTAATTTTCAATTAAAGGTGGTGCATTAGAAACTTCTACCCTAGTGACTGGCACTGACAGCAGTGACGTGATCATCTGCCAAAAAATGATTTGTGGTTTTTGCAACTTTTGTGAAACATGCGTCAAATATATTCCTCATAAATGCTATCAAATATAGATGGATGGACTTTTATATAACCTTAATTTATTCATGGAAAAATATCGTTTACATTATAAATGTCTTTTAATAGTGATCTGGCTAAGAGGGCAGCAGAAATTGCAACAAATATAACAATAGTTCTACAAACAAATTTCTAGTGGCCAAAAATTCTATTTACCAATATAAGTAACGACATTACACATTAAAAAAACACATGGAAACATTGGAAATCAGTTTTTGGCAGATTAACCTTTTTTGGCACCGTGAGAGCATTAATCCAGGGTGGTAATGACAACTGCTTTATTCATACTCAAGGCAAACCCAAGGTTCTCACAGCCTATCTGCTTTCCTACTGCTGCCAACAACCTCTTCTACTGTAACTACACCTTCAGAGACCTTCACCTGCTCACGACTCCGCTGCTCTAACAGGCCATGATGCTGCCAGCATTCACAAAACTGATCTGATCATAAAACAAAAACTGTATGTATAACAATGAAAAATGTAAAAGAGAAAAAGTAAAGAAAAGAAAAAAAGAGACTGAAAATGACAAAAATTGGCAGACCCTCCTCGTCCGTGTCAAGAGAGAAAGAAAGTAAGAAAATAAAATGTTATACTTACGAGACATAGGGATGTTTTCTGAAAAATATAATCCAGGTAACAAAGCTTTTACATTTTGAAAAACCATACTGAATGTGATACTGAGTCTTGTGCTGCTCTTATCGCTTTCCCCATGTTTTAACGTACTGCAGTATTAGATTCAGTTTTCCAGTCTTTATATGAATATCAGCTCACCTCTTTTACATCTCTTGTCTTTCTTCCTTTTGTAAACAACAAATCCAACTCCACCAACAAGGATGAGAAGAATAAGAACAACCACAGCAGCAGTGACGGGGATCATCATGGGCCTCTCTGCTCAGGAAAAAAAAAAAGAGTAAAAGATAATCAGATCATAATGGATATACAGTGCATCCTCCCTGTTATCACACTGATTATTAATGCAATGGTAGTGTGATCTATGTGGCAGTAGATGAATGATGTATTTATGTACAAATATGTATGTACAAATATATAGCATTTGCTACATACTTCACAGCATATCTAAAAAATGTTAGACTGTTGATTTAACCTTTTATGGCTTATAGATAATTTTCTCTATGAAAACAAACCCAACCTTAATCAGTGCTAGCACAACTTACAAAAACTTTTGGCTCTAATAAAAACAATAATGAAAATTTGAAATAATGAAAGGGTTTTTTTTCCAATTATCAGGTCAAAGATTTGAAAAAGCCACTTCTTTTGCTAAGTAAATGTCAAGTTCAGATTAACCAATTTAACAATTGGTCAACATTATATGCAGCATTGTTGGCTGCACAGACTTGCTCTCTTTTTCCACTGACTTTTTGCTAGTATATACAGTGGGGCAAAAAAGTATTTAGTCAGCCACCGATTGTGCAAGTTCCCCCACTTAAAATGATGACAGAGGTCAGTAATTT